TTTATTTGGTCAAAGTTTTTCTTCTGTTTGTTTGAGTGTGCGTTGTAAGCTACATTCGATTTGAACAAACTTCGTCGAATAGTTAGTTTATGACTGCTTTGTTTGGACGAGTACAACTCGAATCTTTTCGTTGGTCTGTTTTGATGCTTGAATCATTTGTGTGAATTTGATTTAAGGATTGGTAGTAGCTGTGTAGTGATTTGGTGTAGTTATAAATCAGAGAGGTTTAAATACAGATTGTTAAGAGTGAGGGCAAGGCAATAATAATAGGGGTTTTCAGGGGGTATTTTTGAGTGTTAAAAGATTTAAAATGTTTAGTGTTAGTAGTCTGCCAGTTGAATATTCAGTGTACAATTAAATTAGTGAATTATTTAATGAAAAGGGAATTAGTAGTGCAGAATACACCCTGTCTAGTATCTTTAAAGGTGGGAAATCAGAAAATAAGCATGGGATTAATGATAAAAGTGTATAGATGCACATGGGAAGGATTATACAGGCTGAAAGTGAAAAAACTTTAAATAAATAATGTTTAGTTCTAGCCTATAAATAGGAGGAGTTGATATAGAGAAGATGACTGGAAAATTTAGAGAAGAAAAAATTTTCAGAACTTCAAAGTGAGAAATAGGCTAATTTTTTCAGAATTAAAAGTCAGTCTTTGAGAGCTAAAAATTGAAAGTGAGGTCCTTTTCTTTACTACTGAAATCAGAACTTTGTTACTGCCTCTGTGGATTGCGTTTAGTACTACTGATTTTCAGTCAGGCTTTCCGGGGTTTTTCAGTTTGGCTCAGACCATTGTTACATTGGTTATTGTTGGTTTTTGTTACTGTTATTTGCTGTGGGATTCTGTTGCTGCGCTACTGCTGTACATTGTTGCTCCTGACTTCTTTTCTTTCTTATTGTAATTCGAATTCCAGGTACACATTCGAATCTTGTAGTGATAAAGCTTTGAAGTTGAAATGCAATAATAAAAATCCAACAGCTTCAATAAAGTAGATAGTAGACAATTTGGTCTATTTAGTTTTTTTTTTCTTTGTGAACTGTTTTAATTTTTTTGTATAATTGGACTGAAAAGAGAAGGAATTGTATAAATGGTAATGCGCTGATATAACATGAACCTGTCAATTTTGTTAGATTAATGGGGTAGATCATGATAAGCAGCAATTTTCCATTTTTTTTACAAGTTCGAGTACAATTTTTCATTAGCATCTGTTGTAATCTATTAATTAAATAAGTTACGGTTTTTCCAGCATGTAATTAACTAGGATTTTTTTTTATTTAGAGACAAAAATAAAAATAGAAATGTAGTTTTTTTTTAAAAAAAAAATGAGACGAGCTTCGTCAAATAAAAACAAAAATAATAATAATAAAAAATAATAAAATTTGTAGGACCCTCAGTAAAGGTTTAAGAAATTTTTTAGAAGTCGGGAAGGGCCGTTTAGCGAATTTCACGACCCTCCTAAAAGATAATAACGCGCTAGAATCTTTAAGCGCGGCTTTAGTAAATTACATTCCTAAATATGGGTGGGCATTTTATGCGGCCCGAATCCAAATCCTAAGACGTTGAATAGAGTATGCCTAAGATTGCGGGTTCATGTGATGCGGCGCAATCCGAAAATATATTTTAAACAGCGTTCACTCTCTCGAATAAATATGTATATGTAAAAGCAATAAAAAGTAGAATCAGCACATAGGTTATTCATGTAAAAATCAGATAATAGCTAAACGCAACAGTTGAGCGACCGTGCTAGAACCACGAAATTCGGGAATGCCTAACACCTTCTCCCGGGTTAACAAAATTCCTTATCCGGATTTCTGGTTCGCGAACTGTTAAACAGAGTCATTCTTTTCCTCGATTCGGGATTAAATTGGTGACTTGGGACACCCTAAATCTCCCAAGTGGCGACTCTGAAATAAATAAACAAATCCCGTTTCGATTGTCCTTTAATTGGAAAAACTCCTTCACCCCTCGCGGGGGCGGAAAAAGGAGGTGTGACAGGGGCAATTTTTGAATTTTTTTTAAAAACCAAACGGTAATATTTTGGGCCAAAAACAATTCTTGAGCTGGTTTTGAGATTTGAAAATTTGCCAAAACATGGATAAAATCTATAAACAAACATGTACTTGGCAAAATCTATTATCAAACAGGGGCTTAAAGTGAGTGAACTCTACGTGTTTAATTTTTTATAAAAACTGTTCAAATTTACCATTCAACTTTTAATTATGATTTTTTAGTTAATTTTCCATTACGGATCAGTACATAAATAAGAATTTTCCCTAACAATTGATTTACATTAGATCAAAAGTTTAACAAAAAAAAAAAGTTGCTCAGTTTCTCATGGTACCGGGTCAAATTTGGAATTTGAAACAAGAGGGGTTGCTCTGATGGTAAGCAACCTCCACTTCCAACCAAGAGGTTGTGAGTTCGAGTCTCCCCAAGAGCAAGGTGGGAAGTTCTTGGAGGGAAGGATGCCGGGGGTCTATTCGGAAACAGCCTCTCTACCTCAGGGTAGGGGTAAGGTCTGCGTACACACTACCCTCCCCAGACCCCACTAAGTGGGATTATACTGGGTTGTTGTTGTTGTTGTAAACTTGGCCCTTTTCCCTTCCTTTTAACGGAGTCAAACTTCAGTCATTACTCATTGCAGAAAAGGTACATAGTCCTAAATATTTAGAGCATGTTTGGCCAAGGTTTTCGGACGTCCAAAATACTTTTTTCTTTCAAAAAAGTATTTTTAAAAAAAATTTAAGCTGTTTGGCCAATACAGAAAAATATTTTTGGCTAGCAACAAAAGCAGTTTTTCTGCTTTTGGGAAGAAGCAGAAAATTCTAGCTTCTTCCAAGAAGCATAAACAGAAGTGAAAAATTAACTAATTCAAGACAAAATTATCCTCACCATAAATTTATACTTTTTAAATTATCCCTTACTAATTTAATTTTTTTTTCATTTTTGTTTCTAGTTTTTACCATTCTTTTAAAATTAAAGATATCATATACATGAATCATATTGTAACTTTCCAAATTCTTTATTGGCTTTTCTTGTTTTGATTTTTTCTTTGTGTAATGTCTTGTAACTTTCCAAATTATCTTCTTCTTTTTTCACACTAAAGCAAATTATCTACACCCTTCTTTGGATTATCAAATCTCTTCCTACAAATAATCTTTTATAATTTCTTCTGTTATATGCTATTAATTCCCGAATTTGTAAAACAGTTATCAAATCTAATTTGTGAAAATTACTTACAAATATGTAATAAATTTACAATTCCATCGCATAATCTATCTATATATTATTAAAAGAAGAAAAAAAAACATCATGCATTAAGCCAAATGGTAGCCTGACAATAGGCCACTTGGTAATTTAGTACAAAGTTAGTAAGGTTAGGTAATACTAATTAGTTTCTTTTTAATTTAAACTTTAAAAAGAATTATACACTATGTGTTGTTAAATTAGTTACTCTTTTTTAGTTTGAGTTTAAACATACTTACCTATTTTTTTACAAAAAAAAATTATTTTTATATATTTAAAATTATTTCTGTTTTACGCTCAATACCATCTTTCAAGTTTGACACCCAGAATCATCTAGTTACAATTATCATGGCTATACATAATTTCATTCAACGTCATTCTTCTACCGATAAGGAATTCAATTATTATGCTAATGAAGACATTATTGCAGAGATTGAGGAAGGAGATGTGCCTTCTAATATTCCTTTAGAAATGCAAGACAAGTCTTCTACTAATATGGAGGCGTTGTGTGATAAACGTAGAGATGAAATTGTTGAGAAATATTATCATGTGTGAGTGACTTTACTTATTATTTTATGGTAGATTATTAATATATAGTAATTTGTGGAATAAACTTCTACTTCATACTGAATGATGTATTTTGATGATTCAAATCATTATGTAACAATAAGTAATTATACTAGATAATAATAAATGCTTTGGTATAACTATATATGTAAAATTGATTTAAATCTTTAGTATGTTTGTTTACTTTATGTTGTATATTTTAATTAAATAAAATAAAAAATAATAAAAGTCACTTACAATAAATATTTGAGTTCATTTTTCTCTTTAAAAAAATTATAAGACCTTGGTACTATTCTTTTTGGCAATTTGATACTCAAAAGCACTTTTTAGAAAGATTGACCAAATACAATTTATCTATTAAATATTACAAAAAGTACTTTTTAAATGAATTGACTAAACGCAATCTGTTTCTTTTCAAAAGTACTTTTGAAAAAGATACTCCAAAAAAAAGTATTTTTCAAAATAAGCAGATTTTGGCGGCTTGGCCAAACGGGTTCTTATAGCCTGTTTGGCCAAGCTTCTCAAGAGGCCAAAAGTGTTTTTTTTCCCAAAAGCATTTTTTTCTCAAATAAGCTTGGCCAAACACCTCAAATAGCAGTTTCAGAGAAGCAGAAAAAAATAGCTTCTTTCCAAAAGCAGAAGCAGAAGCAGAAGCAGTTTTGGCTTTTGTTCTTACCTAAAATACCCTTAACAAAATATAGTATATACCAAAATAACCCTTAAACCTAATACTTAGGATATTAATTTATAAATATTTCTTCTTATTTTTATGAAAACTTTCTAATATATAGTGACTTTAGGGGTGAATACTTTTATATTTGTTGAAGGAATTTTAATATATTTAACTTATATTAAAAGAATTAAGTACTTTTAAATTCTATTTTCATATTTTACTTAAATAAAATGATTTTTTTAATTATTGCATGTAATAACAAAATTTTGATATTATTTATTTACTTACTATAATATTAGTTATTAAGTAAATCTATTCATGTCCTTATTCGTAATTTGACACTTAAAAACACTTTCTAAAAAGTTTCGCCAAATACAAATTATTTTTCAAAAGTGCTTTTCAGACTGATTAGCCAAACACAAACTGCTTCTCCTCGAAAGTACTTTTTTCAAAAATGCACTTCTCAAAATAAGCTGATTTCTCCGGCTTGGACAATTCTAATTGTCCCAGCTTTCAATTTTTCGCAAGTTATGGCTTCTGCAATGACTCGTACCAAGCTCCTTAAGACACCTCTTGTGTCTTCTTTTCCATCTTCTTCTCCACTCTCATACCTCACCAACCATAGGTCTCATCAAATTGACCCAAAGCTCTCAACTTCCCTCTGTTCAATCTTGAACCACAAATCCAATTTCAATTCCCCTGATTTTCACATCCTAAATCCTTCACTATCTGCCTTGAATCCATTGTATTCCACTGTTTTTAAGCCTCAATCAGCAGTACAAGAAAAACCCGTTAAATCATCTATCAAATCAACCTCTTTTCTCCAAATTCAAAGCCAAACTCATTTTCTTGAAAAAATTGCACAAAACACTAATCCATTCAATTCTTGCTCCAATTTAAGGTACTTTTCAACTTCTGATGACGGAAAACATCGAAACTCAAGTGAGTATCCTAGACAAAATCCGGAATTTAAGCACCAGGAGATCGAAGGACCGACTGTTGAGCGTGATCTTTCGCCACTTGCAAATGAGACCCGTGAGGTGCTCGAGAAAATGCTCAAGAGAATGTATAGTTTGAGCAAGGCATTTGCTGCGCTTGGTCTTGTTCAGCTTGGTTTGGGAGCTTGGCTTACTTACATGACTCAGTCCTCGCCCGTTTATGAGATCTCTATACAGAGTTTCTTGGCCTTTGGACTGCCATTTGCTTTGGCATTCATGTTGAGGCTGACGGTGAAGCCCATGTACTTCTTTAGGAAAATGGAAGAACAAGGTAGGCAGCAGATTCTCACACTTACTCTTCAGGTTGCCAAGCAATTCAACGTAATGTTTCTACGGTTTCAAGGTGTTTCTTACTCGTGTATTGTTGTTGCATTTGTTGGATTAGTCCTCGTTGTTTTCTCTAAGTTCAGCAGTTAATTTTTAGCAAGTAATAAGACATTTCTAATGATGGAATTTATTCCTTTATGTACCTTTTTTCTCTCTATGGGGTGATAGTGAAGCTTAAAATGAATCTCTATGGTTTTAAATATGTTGTAATCTTGGTAGATTGAGAAGTTTTTCGTGGCTAATGGATGATCATAATGAATGTGAAAAGTTGCATACTTGTTAAGGTATTCACTGGGAAAAAGAAAGCTTTGTGTTCTTCAGTTCAATGTTAATTCAGAAAAGAAAGGTTATTTCAGCTCCAATTTTGCCATGTCTGATTTCTGCTAGTATTTGCTGATCCATTTTTCCATATGCTTTTTTCTTTAGTCATCTGTTTAATGTTAATATGGTATGGGATGCAGCATTTGGTTAAACTTTCAACTTTTAGCAGCACAGCAAATCTTGAGTATTCCTCTTCTTCTTACTTCTTTTCCAATATCATATCTCACACGTCCTATAGACCACTGTTTAAACCCAAAATCTCAAGTTCCTTTTCTACAATCTTCAATCACAATTACAATTCAACATTCCAATAATCTTCTTTTGAAAACCCTTCAAAACCCCGTGTGGATTCATCACCAAAATCATCGCCCCTCCTCCTCCTACACCATAGTAGCGCACATTTTGTAGCAGGGGCAAGGCACGAGAACCCTTCAAATTTAAATTTAAGACGGGTGTCGTGCGAAAAATAAAAAGTTTCTTAATCTATTACCCAAGGAGCTCTATAATAAAACGCCAGAGGAGTTCCGTGGAGAACTCAGATATTGTTAAACTCGATGGAATATTAAGATACCCTATATCCTTTAGATGCATCATGTTTTTATTTTGGGGTGTTATATATGCGAGGTAGAAATACCGATTGTCTTGATGTTTCGGTCCTAATATATTTCCAAATTAATAGAAACTAAGGCAATGGAGCAGGTCAAACTATTAAGGACCCTGCAGGAACAAGAGTTCGAAACCTAAATGCCAACTTTTTGGACTCAAAATACATTTCTACTGCCTAAAAAAAGATACTTTTCTATATATAACGTAGTATTACACCGCGTTATGTATAGCGCGGTATAATACCGCGCTATACCTGATTGTGAGCCCACCAATTAGTCTCATGCATTTAACTAACATAACTGTAATTCAAATATGTATAGCGCGGTATTATACCGCGCTATACCTGTTTGTGGGCCCACCAATAAGTCTTCTGCGGTTAACTGACATAACAATAATTCAAATGGGTATAGCGCGGTGTAATACCGCGCTATACATAAAAAAAATTCAGCCCCTCGAGCTAGACATTGCCTTATTTAAAGGCGTTAGGATTTTATGAAAATTCATTCAAAAAATATTCTAACTTCCGTTCAAACTTTTCTTCTTGTTATGAAGCACTTTTTATAATGTTTGAAGAGCTAAAAATAAGGGTTTCATTATATTGGAGGGGGGGGGGGGGGGGTGAGGGGTGAGGTTGTAGTGGAGAATAACTCTGCGAGGTATAGTTCATCTCCACAGTGTCATGTTAAATTGCCGCTTATAATGGAGTACGATAAATTGGTATCATTGTTACATAAAAAAATGAGTGTGAGAAAACGTTCGATGAACCTTAAAGTAACCGGTAGATTTTCGTATTCTATGACTCCGCAGGGGTTTGCTTGTTATTCTGAGTTTAACATCGAAGATAATGAAACTCTTAGAGATTTTTTGCGAATTCCGGATGAATACGGGGAATTTATTGTGATAAAATTGTTGGAAATGTACGTCAAGGCTGAGTACGCTGGCAATAATGAGATTGCGCAAAGCAGGGATAACCCCAGTCATCGGGTGGTTATTCTAGAGCAATTTTAGCCCAACAGGTTCCTGCTGAAAGAGTTTGGCCGGATCTTAACTTATATCTGCGGGCGAACGAGGAGCGAGGAAATAATTTCTCTCCTACTTTACATAATCCACAAGACGACCGGTAAACTTCAATTTTCCTTTTTGTTACAATGTTTATTTTTTGTTGAATTGAATTTGTATTAACACTCATATTTTCTACAGGGGATACCGTCCGGATATGAATTTTATAAGTTATGACCCCATGCCCAGTTGGAATATGCGTAGTTCTGGCGTGTTGGATCACGGTGGTCCATCCGGGAGTCATCACTAACAGGAAAATATCCATCATGGAATGTCAACGCAGTACGACTTGTAAGTGAAGTGATATAGCTATATGTAAAATATTTATCAATTTGAGTAGCCTATCATTTTGTTCTTTTTGTGCAGTGAAAATGAGCAACTTGATGGTCCTGACCTCACTCAGTTGTCCGTAGACGACGTATTTACTCGTGATTTGGCAGATGCACAGAGTCAAAAAGATAATAGTGATTATAACAACAATTTCGATGAGTCTGGAGATGACACACCCTTCCCTGACGAGGGTGATGATGAGGAGGAAGTGAATGTCGAACCTGAGCTGACGAGGGAGCATGCTCCTCCGCCTCCCGTTAGACTAAGGGTGTATGAGTCCCACGTGCCATTTCATGAGCGGAATATTCCCTACCTTGATAATTTGCCAAGTATGACGGATGTGGATGCCCTCACAAGGGATGCTGACGATTTTCGGTCAGCAATGTGGGATGAGTTTAGACAAACGGTGCTGGCAAAGGGCATGTATTTTCTCGATAAAGCTCGCTTAACTAGCGCTGTAAAAATGTACAACGTAAGAGAGTGCAGTGAAAACATTTACCAAAAAATGTTGGACAAGTGCAGTGTGGAATTACCAGCCTTGTGCATCAAAGTTCAGTCGGTATTCAAAGATACCCAAAGCAATGCTTACACGAAAGGGGGCAGAACCTATTTTCTAAGAGTAGTGAAAGTGTGTGATAGAGTTTTTAAGAAATTGAGTTGATAGGAGAAAACAGAACATGATCCATATATGATCAGTTCTTGAAAAAATAGAAGAGTATGACAGTTTTTGTAAGGAGATGAGTAAGACAATCTCAGAATCAAAACATCACATAGTTCAGGGAAACAAACACAAACAGGGGACAGGGGGCATGGGGACAAGTAGTTCACATGTAAGAGCATAGTTGCACATACATAGTCATCAGAGAAAAACATTTCAGAACTTAGGTAGTCACAACATTTTTACCAAAGAGGTTCAGGGTTACATGCTGATAATTGTACTGGGGTAAGGAAGAACATGCATTAGACAAATAACGGAAGTAGTAGGCATGCTGAATTAAAGGAAAGATAGACACATCAATTAACACAGAGACATGCTAATTGCAATGAGAACAGCAGAACCATAAGTAGAAGCAAAAAAAAGAAACAAGAGGAAGTGCAATACACATAAAAACATGTTGTTTTGGAAACTGTAAATCAAATAGGAGACATACCAATCAAGAGTAAGATAATATAGAGCAGTGGTGTGCAGGGAAGTAGAGCAGGAGTGTATGCAGACCAAGAGAAGGAGAGCATGAGAGTCAACTCCGGAGGTATACAAGGTCAAATGCCGTAGACACTTTATGTGTTGTAACTGGATGTTGCGTGCGATCAAGAAGGAAATAGGGTTGTGGAAAGTGGGTAAATATATTAGCACACACAGATGTGAAATGGATACATTCAATCTGAATCACTTCAACTTGGATGTAGACTTGATTTCTCTTGTCTTGATTCCACACTTGGAAGTGTCCATTAGGTACAAAATCAAAGAGTGTATTACATCCGTCCACCAGGAATATGGGTGTACTATAACCAAAAGAAAGGCATATCTCAGACGCAAATGTGCATTTGAAATTATTTATGGTGGCTGGGATAAGTCATTTTCATCTCTACCCAGGTACATGGCCATACTGAAATACTTTAACCCCGGGACTGTTGTTGAATGGAGGCATGAGCGGAGTCCGGGAATACTGAAATATATTTTCAACTATGTGTTCTGGTCATTTAAACCAGCAATTGATGGTTTTGTGCATTGCCGTCCTGTAATTTCTATAGACGGTAGTCATGTCTATGGAAAGTATGATATTAAGCTTTTAATCGTAGTTGCAGTAGATGCCAACGTACAAATATTTCCACTAGCCTTTACTATTTGTGCGAATGAAAGCGTAGAGACGTGGATGCTTTTTTTTTGAACCACTTGAAGCAACACGTTGTCAAACAACGTTAAGGTATTTGTCTAATATCTGATCGGCATGGTGGTATTTTAAGTTCTATACGGCATTTGCCTGAATGGCAGGAACCCTTCATAATATCGTTACTGTGTGAGGCACCTAAAGGCCAATTTCCAGAAGAAATATCCCGACAAGGCCTTGCATGATTTAATGTGGATGGCTGCAATTGAGCACCATCAGTGCAAATTCACAAGGCGCATGAAAGCGATCAGGCAGTTAGACGAAAGAGCCTATAATTGGCTGATGGGACATGAGCTTCACAAGTGGACATTGCATGCTGATGGTGGAAGACGATGGGGAGCCCTGACTACAAATGTGTCGGAGTCATTCAACGGCTTATTGAAGTCTGCACGTGGATTGCCTGTCACTGCAATACTAATGAGAATATTTGAGAAATATAGGAGGAGAGCACATTGGCATTCATATTTATAGTATGATCACGATCGGGGTGTTTTTGAAGTTCGCACTGCTATCCGCGGACACCAAGGGAATAATCTACAAATCGTGAATGAAACCAGCAGGTTGTGTTCATGTGGGAAATGGACCATCTACCACATGCCGTGCGCACATGCCATGAAGTGCTTTCAACAAGTTGGTTTAGGGACAACCAACTATGTTGATAGGCAATACAGTGTTGCTGCATACGTAAACACATATAGTGGGCAGTTGCAGCCATTGGGTGCTGAGCATTATTGGCCGTCGAAACCATTTAAAATGTTGTGTAATAAGGATTATTTGCGCAAGCTGCAAGTGCAAAAGAGAATGCGTATACAGAACCAAATGGATGTTAGTGATCCCGTTTATGCGTGTAAACGTGGCATATGCTCGCAAACAGGACACGACTGTCGTAAATGTCCTTCAGCTGGTCTGGGTGGCGGTGGTAATCTAGCTCTTGGTGCAAGTTCGTCTAATGTACCCAACTATTAAGGATACACATAGTGTTTTGTTTTCCTAATATTTTTTGTAATAAGTGTCTGTACTTATTTATGTTGCAATATCTATCAAATAAAATTATGTTCCACAATCTTGTTACATCTTATTATCTAACATGACCTTTTGAATTGGGATGATGATAT